GAAGGAAGGAAGGAAGGAAGGAAGGAAGGAAGGAAGGAAGGAAGGAAGGAAGGAAGGAAGGAAGAACGGAAAAGAGAGAGGGAAGGGAGGGAGGGAGGGAAGGAGGCTAGAAGAAAGGAGAAGGGAAGAGAAAGAAAGAAGGGGGAGGAAGGGGAGGGTAAAAGCTTGTTATATAAAACAGTTGCTCCAAAACATATTAAAGAAGTCATAGCCAACATTATATCTGAAGAAAAGTGAAGTTGCTTAATGACTGAAGGAGAATAAAAAACTCTGAACTAATTTCTAACTGTATAGAAAAACGCTATCACAGATAAAAACAAATGACACACAGATAAGATGCACTTACCTCTGTCTTTGCATATTAAATGACTACTATAATTATTGTACAATACACAGTGTACTTTAGAGTTTTTATAATGATTTAAGTGTTTATTATAGTCACCTTTACATTTCTACAACATCCCAAGGGATTGAACTGGCAACCCTAGACACAGAATTACAGACAACTTAGGATGCTGAGTATTGAAGAAATAGTCTCCCCAGAGAAGAGCCCATCAATTGGTTATCCAATAACAAATGTCAGCCTGAAAATATATGCATATGAGTAACATTATATGCCTTGAGCAGGTTGTATTTATGCATTTATGAATATGCATGTGTAGCCATGAATTTGAATGAAAGCAAGGGTATACATGTGAGGTTTGAAGGAAGAAAAGGGAAGGAGGAAGTGATATATTATAATTTCAAAAAAAGTCCTATTTGCTTTGCACATGGTTTAATTGCAGTACACAGCTTCAAAATGTAAGGATTTTAGAGTCAGTGAAAGCAGTTTTTGGATCATCATTATGCTGATTCCAGACTCTAGCTGTATGACATGGAATATTTCCAATAGCAAAATAATAAAATGACAACCATTCATAACTTAGTGTTTTACATCATTTTAATTGATTTTTAAATCACTTTTTATATTTTGAGATTATAATATATTAAAATGTATTAAAATATACATAGAGACATCACTGAAAAAATACCTGTCATTGAAGTAAATAATAAAACCTCTTATAAGAGAACTCAGCTATGAAATCTTGCGAAGATATGAGTGGAGATATAGCTTGGATCTGTTAAGACACTGCATGTAAACAGTGATTGATTAGAACTTAGTATTGATTCATTCATCCACTCATCCATGACAAAGAATTAAGCCATGATCTTAAAAGTGAAACCATAAATACAATTGAAATTGAGCATAGATTATTTATGTAAAAAGGCATCGTTGATGCATCTTTTTCAACTTTTGACTTTGATAACTAAACTGTATTTTTAAGAAACAAAATGCCAGCTGGGTATAGGCACACCTTTAATCCCAGCACTCTGGAGGCAGAGACAGGTGCATCTCTGTGAATTCGAGGCAAGCTTCGTCTACAGAGTAAGTTCTAGGATAGCCAGGGCTATGTAGAGAGACTATGACTTAAAAAAATTCTTAGGGTTAACTCATAAATAAGAAAAAGAAGATATGAAATTATGATAGTAATCCATCTTAGCCAGATAAAACAACATTTAAAAAAAAGAAAAACAAATAATAATGTCAAGTACTTGTAGGTATTAGAGTTAGAATATGTTTATTCTTTTATAAATGTAATTCTTACTCATTCCAGGTCTTTGATATAATTTTTAATCTAGAAAGTGTTTTGAAATGGAATTATAATTAAATTAAAATATTAATTTTAACATAAAATATTATGTAGTTAATAAGTACAGAGTTTTGAAATAGATATTCCTTAATTTATTACTTTATAAAAAAGTTAAGGGCACTCATAGCACTGTGTTCTTTTTTCTATCATTATCAGAAATGTTTCTTCCTCTTTGAATAAAAAGTAGTCCAAAGTTCCCCTGCAGAGGCTGTCATCCTATTAAAAAAAAAGCATAAATCTTTAGAATTTATAGTAAGAGCTCTTCAAAGTGTAGTATAGCTGTGCAGTTGTGGTTGGTAGCTCAGTGTCGACGCTGCAAACAGCATCTTGAAAAGAGACGATGTCAGGAATAGGATGAAAACAATAGAGAGCACCCTCCGACAGAGATTTTCTGAGAAAGTAATAGAGAAGCAAAATCTTAGGGGGGATACTAAGTATAGGAAAACACAAACAGTTTTACTGTTGCTACAACACAAATTCTGAATATGTAGAAAAGAATATCAAAAAGAAGGCAGGTTCCATGCAAGTAAGGATGCAGTGTGTAAAAGTAAAAGAATTGGCTGGCATTCCTTTCCATGGTAATGGGAAAAAGGAAAGGCTTCTGGTGGGCAAGTGGTATTGCCAAATTGGCAGTCTTCAGGACAGCTCTCGACACAACTGGCTGCTGTGTGGAGAATGGGAGAAGCTCCATGACACAACATAAACTAGATTGCTCGTGGTAGTGGGAATTATGAAGAGGATAGATTTTTCAAAACTCAGGCAACTGTGTCATCAAAACACTGTGTATGATAAACCCATGTTAGCAGTTCTCTGAGAAATGAATGCACATGACTTTTACGATTTCATTTGACACTGACTTTTCATTATATGGTATATGTCTAACTGTAGGAAATTTTTGATATGCATATGGATCTATAAGAGGAGTATCAGTCAGTGTTCTTTGGGAAGTAAATTTTCTGTGTTGGCTGACTGCCATGATGGAATTATAAGGTAGAGTTTTTGAGTTCTACAGTAACTTTTGTTCTAGATGAAAAACAAAGAACCTAGTACATGTAACCAAGGATCTCCCATTCTCCTTACCTTTCAGATGATAAGTCATTCTATTACCTTGCCTCTTTTCAAGTCACAAACATCAAATACAAAGAAAATTACGGGATGAGGTCATCAAGAGAGTTTATAGAAAGAAGTCATCAGATTGAGAGAATGGTAAGCTCAATGGGAAATACTGATCTACAACCTTCTCAGAATTGAACAATTTGACTATTCAAATTTGCCATGCTGGCAGTCTGCATCTCGCTGAGGATTTAATTCTCATTTCCCTGTTTAGTAATTAAGTTTTGCCATAGTTATCTGCCATGTGCATTTCTTTTCCATTAATGTTTGTTAATGATTTTGACCATTTGTATATAAACCTATATTGATAATACATATTGAAAATGACATTTTCAATTTGTTCCTTGCATTTTATTATTGTTGTACTATATTGAGAGGAATAGGTGATCTAAATTTTAAAATGTTATTGATACCATTATTTTCTCATCAGTACCATTTGTACTTGCATGAGAAATTATTTCTGATTCTATATCATTGGCTTTTAAAACCCTGGCTTTGCCTTTCACATTTAAAATTTATACTATATGGAACTGAGTCACATGTTTATGTGAATTAAGGAATTAAATTCATTCCTCCCTAATGTAAAAAGCAGTACTCTGGTAGCACTACTATGGTACAATAGTCATTCCAATGCTTATCTGTCAGGCCAGCCCCTCCACAAATGAAGTTTCGACATATTAACTGAGGCATATGAACTCTTTCATTGTACAACTATTTTTTACTCTGTCAATAGCAAGGGCTACTCCTTATCTGTTTTAACTTCTGACTACTCCAAGCATCCCTTAATGAATAATAATGAAATGTCTAATTTCTGTATCCATCTTCACAAGGTCTTCCTCCTCATTTCTCTATAAATTTTCATTCTGATGAGGCTTTTTAATATGGGATTCAGTGCCTCCAAGAAATCTATCTTCAGGTCTTCTCTCATAGCTTAATTATATCATATTCACAGATTTCTGGATTCAAATATATTTTTCAGAATGTACACCCAATACATCTAATACATCTAGGATTATAATCTTCTTCAGGTTTATCTTGGCTAATCTTGAATTTTGCTTTTATGCATCAAATACACACACACACACACACACACACACACACACACACACACACACATATTTGTTGGGATTTGATTTAACTTGCTTCAAATGTAGAGGCCTGCACAAAATAACTAATTCATTTAGGACTTGTTTGATGCATTTCAATAAAACTTTAAACTGTTTCTTTAAAGATACTACTCATTTTTAGAAGTTTATTCTTTATTTTTTGAAAATTTTGTATATGTATACAATGTATCTTGACTATATCCATCCTTCACTTTCAACCCAAGTTCTCCCAGGACCCTCACACCCATTCCAATATAGGCAGCAATAATTGGATTCCATGGGTTAAAGAAAGTATAAATAAATAATTGCTTAGTTTTTTTTAAGATTTAATACTAGGTGCATTTTGTAATTATTAACTTCAGGATTTTGTCCTTTTTTTTCAAAGATTTACTTTATTTTTAAGTTGTGTATAGGTTCATATGTCTATGTTTACATGTGCACATGAGTGCAGGTGCCCAAGAAGGCAGAACAGGGATACTGGAACCCCTGGAGTTAGAGTGAGGTAGTAGGGAGCTGCCCAGTGTGGGTACTTGGATAGAACTCAGGTACTCTTGAAGAACAGCCACTATTAAACAGCTGAGCTATCTCTCTAGCTATCTTTCTTTCTTTGTCTGAATTCAGGACATGAGATAAATCTCTCATCTATTAAGGAAATCTTTTCTACTTTTTGTTAGTGTTTGGATTTATCCCTACTTTTATATCTAACATAATTTAAGTGAGGTCTTTAATAAGAAGTCTGTCACCTTGAACCCAAGTCCATTCATTTAGATGTGGTCTACATTCACTTTTTCAAAATTCCTAGTTCTTAGAAGCCAGTTCCTCCTGAATGCTACTTCCATGTTTTTGAATATTTTATTTGCTCTTTTCTTCCTAATTTCTCATTCTACATCCACTTTCTCAAAGGATAACTCAGAATTAAAGCATTTGTACAGGAAAGACTTGTTCACAATAAGCAACTGAGAGTTTCCTAGTTGATTACTTTTGTGAAGACAGCAACCAACTAGTTTTCATTTAGTAACATCAGAAAATATTGAACTTCTCAGAAATGTGAAAAAATTGCATAGTCTTCCAGTTTAAATGATTTTTCTTTCACTTTTCTTTTTTGCAGGCTACAACTTTTTAGTTATCAAGATATTCTTTCCACTCCAAACATATTTGAGATAAAAATGAAAAAGTGTAGCTTAGGACTCATTCATTCATCTTTCTATTCATTTAATCTATTTATAAATTATTTTTTTGTATATGTATTTAATGAATATTTATAGAATCCTATTCTCTGGGATTCCGTCAAATAATGATAATAGATAATATGTTATGTTTAATTAGTGGCCAAGAGAGGTGATAAATACAGCATTATAACTATGTAAAATAATATATGAACAGTTTAATCAATACCTTATATCATAGTCTTCAGTAGAAATATTAAGGCTAGTCATTGTTCTTAGCACCTTTCTCTGTCTACAGACTACCTGCAATCTCAGAGTCACACAGTGATTGCCATGAACTTCTCTGTTAGTGGAAGTTTCTGTCCCACCCACCAGTTCCCAAATAACTGACACAGAGACTCAATATTTATTGAAAATGATCGGTCAATAGCTCAGGCTCGTTACCACCTAACTCTTACATTTAAATGAATCCATATTTCTTATCTATGCTTTGCCATGTGGCTCATGTACTGTTACCTCATTTTTTATACATCCTGTGTCCTCAGCAGGTGGCTGGCATCTCCTCTGACTCTGTCCTTCTTTCTCACAGCATTCTCAGCCTGGCTGTCCCTCCTATACTTTTTGCCTGGCTACTCATCAATCAACATTTTATTAAAGCAATTTGAGTGACAAATCTTTACAGGGTACAAAGGGAGTACTCCACAGCAATTCTCTGTTTGACCACTTGTATAATACTCTGCTGTTTGGGGCAGAGTTAAGACAGATTAAAATAAAGCAACCGTAGAAAGCTGGGAATGAAAGTGGCATTCCTTCTTAGGGAAGAGCACATCAGTTGGTTGTCCAGTGGCAAATGGTCAACCCTGAAAACATACCTACAGGTAGCATTATGTGGACTAAACATGATATACTTATGAATACACACACACACACACACACACACACACACACACACATACATATATGTGATAACAATTAGTAAAAACAACAACAAAGGCCATGAATTTGAAAGAGAGTATGGAGGGATATATGGGAGGATGTGTAGGGAGGAAAAGGAAGAGAGAAATGTAATTAAATTTTATTTGCAAAAAAACCAAGATAATTGTTTTCATACTCAGTATTACTGGTTTAGTTAAAGTTATTCACCTTATATTTATCTAATCCCATGTATCATAAGAACGTTTACTGAAACCTTTTTATGATTTTTTAAAAACATATTCTAAAACAATGATAAACCTTGAGGGGCTGTTTGAATGTTCCTCTTATTTTCTTTCTAAGTCAAGATATCACATTTGAAATATAAAAAGCACATGAGAACATAAAAAGTTACTATGAAAACCACTTTTCTGCTGAAGTTCATTGCATATTTTTCCAACTGAGAGCTAAGGCTCATCCAAATATTGGGAACCTGTGACAGCAGAACTTCCAAGAAGAGGACACAATGGAATGTATTGAGGGCCATTGAGGGCCAGCCTCAATGTCCTCCCAGGGTTCAGAGGAAAGGCTACAGCTGACTTAAGGCTCAAAAGATCTGAGGGCAAAAAAATCTCTCACTCAGTGATTTTTCTTGCCAACTATTTTTATTCTTTTCTGCTGCAGAGTCTTTCAGTTTATATATACACACAAAACAAAGGCAGTTCTCTGGTAATCGAAAAGTTACTGTTGATCTAGATGGTCTTTTTTGTTTTGTTTTGTTTTTCAAGACAGGGTTTCTCAACTTAGCTTTGGACCCTGTCCTGGAAATCACTCTGTAGACTAGGCTGGTGTCAAACTCACAGAGATCCTCCTGACTCTGCCTTCTGAGTGCTTGGACTAAGGGTGTGTACCACCACCTCCCAGCTTCTAGATGGTCTTTTAATAAGAAACCCAGAGCCCAGATATCAGGGTGGAAGCTGAAAGATCAGAGAAGCAGAACAGCTAGCCACTGGCTCTTACCTCTACGAAATCCTCAGTCTCAAGAGAGTGAGTTTCTGTTTCCTCACGCCTTATATACCTTTCTCTGCCCTGCCATATTACTTCCTGGGATTAAAGGCATGTGTACTTCCCAAGCAAAGACATGAGATCTCAAGCACTGGGATTTAAGGTGTGTGACTTCACTGCCTGACCTCTATGTCTAATCTAGTGGCTGGCTCTGTCCTCTGATCCTCAGGCAAGTTTACCAGGGTACACAGTATATCACCATAGTTATAGAGCTAGCACTTTTTCTCAGGAACAAGAAGCAGATAGGAGCTGTCCCAAGTGACACCATCAGCACTTTTCTGCTTCTGGGGAGGCGTGACTAGAAGGATGCCAGGCAGCACTGAGAAGCAGAAAGGCTGATTTAATATAATAGGGTTCTCCATTCTGAGGGAGTTCATATATGGTGCTTCATTCCTAGGTATGAATAATTAAATTAGGGGTTAGTCATAAATGTACAACGGTTTACATCTATTACCTAAGCAGTTAGAACAAGGGGAATTAATAGCTTTTTAGGGTAGAGCTGGGGGGTCAGCTAAGGTTAGCACTTTCCCAACTCAGCTGTGGGAGAATTTAGGGCACACAATCTCCATAATCAGAAGGGACCAGGAATCAAATGTGCTTAGACGTTCCTTTATCTCTGAGGGTCCCAAATGTGATCTATTTGAAAGATCCTTTCCTGACCACATGTCCTGTCGAATGGGAGTTAATTGCAGGGAGCTGGCTTCTAATGTATGTCTCAGGGAATGGAGTGGGGATTAGGCTGTGGGAATCAAGTTTATTGACTTCGAATTCTTTCACTGGAGGTCCCACAGAATAGAGGGGATGCCACCCAATATACTAGCACATGGGAGAAATTGTGCCCAGT